TAAGCTAAAACGTATTGATCCCCAAACGAATTCTGTATGACTTGATCGTATATAATATTATATGCACTCGTCCTCGATACAGTTACGTGACGTTTGTTATTTGACTAGATTTTATAATATGGGAAAAAAAAWTTTTAAGGTAATGACTTTCGTTGAGGTAAAACAGCATTTACTCAAACTGGAAGAGATTTTTATTTTTCTCACGCTTTATTCGATATACGAATAATACTTAATATTCTATAATGTCGTGTTTGAATTTCGAAGGGCTGTAATATCGTCAAGACAGAAAACACAACATGATTYCTTCATTAGCATTAATTARATAAATTATAACATTAATTTTTTTTTATTGATCTTTATATATAACTCGGCAGCAAAGGCCATTAGTAGAAACAGTTTATTAAACCGTAAACTATGTAAACATATTTATTATATTATAGTATCTTACTTTTAAGGCACAAATCGCTTCACAATAATCAAAAACGGTCTACCACACACTCGCGGGATGGTAATATTATACGATTTTTGTGTAATCTATAACATAGGTATCTACATGCTCTTATAAAAACACGTCCGATGGGCATTGAAATCTAAGTACCTATTGCGATTTATTTGTTTATTTTCGATTTTCCTTATTCACGATCGTTATAAACATGTAAGCACATATGGTAAGAACCGCAAATTATTATCTCTCTCTMTATATATTATATTGTAAATATAAAGAAACTATCAATTTAATATATTTATGACTTAAATACACCTTACTTAAATTACTACAACCACAGCCCGTTTTTTTTATGTTGATTTAACCTTATATTACGAGTAATACAATATAAATATGCAATCAAATGACTAATGAGTATATATTATTATCCTTAAAATAATAATTACACAATTTATATTATAATGTATATGTACTCACACTCATATGTACATATACACATATTATCAACGAGTGGTATTATATTCCAGTTGAAATCAACTGCACTACACGATTAAACAGGTTACGTACGACGATTGTAGTGTTCCTCGACGTAATACTATTATATTATTAATATGATGGTATATTATTATATTCTCGCGGTCGAAAAAGTCGCAAATAATATTTAATCGATGAATCGTGTAATATAATAATATACATTTATTTATGTACATACTACATTACTACCTATATATATATATATAGGCAGTACCTATATTAGACTATGTTCAACCACGTTAATATTAAATCACTGTCTATAATTACGTTTACTTAGATGTCAACAATATTTTATGAATATTTAGCGAAATTGTATTTATATTTTTAAAGAGAAATCTGTTAACAGAGAAATTTTTGCTTGGAAGATCCTTAAGTACGATTTTTTTGTTTGGGTGACTTTTTTTACACGTTGTGTGTATATTTGTGTAAGATAGAGGCATATGTAGAGAGAACAGAAGATATAGATAGAGAAAGGACGTGGAGAGAATACATATACTGAGGAAGAGAGAGAGAGAAAMAAAATGAAATCGGCCGGTCTACAGTTGATACCATCGTTTGTCCCTGTTCTTCATCATCAGCTCTCGGGCGTTGGAGGAAAACTGTTCGGCTTCGTTCATCATCCTGGCGGTGCGGTCCTCCAAATTGCTGAGCTTTTCGCCACGTTCCACGGCCAATTGATGGGCTCTCGATATCTCGCTGGCCGCCGTACTCGCCCGGTTTCCCAGCGCGTCCAATTGGGCTGACGGTCCGGGTACAAGTTTGGCGACGAGTTTTGGTGCTTTACCGCTGGTAGACTCGCCGACTGTCCAAAACACACAAATCGAATAACTCCAATAATATTAATAAAGAAAACTAGCTAAATTATGGTTGTGGTAATTTTTTTAAATGACAATAGTTTTCAAACGATAAAGTTTTTTACAATATGTATCGAAAGTTTGATAGATAATCATATTTTGGTTTCCAACCCAAAAGTATGTATCGCTACTGTTATAGACATAAATTGTACGTTGTAAAATTTATGGATAGTGATGATAATGAGAAAAGAAATTGATTTTAAAACGTTTCAAGAACAATTATTATTATTAATTTTTTTTTTCAAAATTATACCTGATAAATGATACATTAGGCACCTAAAAGTATAGTATTGCTTTTTTTTTTTTTAAGTATATTTCATCAATGTAATTTATTTTCCGATCGATTTGGGTTCAATTACTTTAACGTTCACTATAGGTGTCTAAGTCGATTGTCTATAGGATTATCAACGAAAATGTCAAATCACCAACCATCGGAAAATAACTCAGAGGAACCGGACATCTGTCTATCGGCATATGCATTATATATATTATATATACACAGGAAGATATATATA